GGAAGTCTCAATAGGTCCTTAATATTATACTCAAATTCTCAATAATTAGCTTGTAATTACTCAAAAGTTTTAAAAATGATTGAAACATTAAATTCAAAAGTCAAGACCTTTTTTATTGTTAGAAACCCAATTTATGGTCTTTTCAAATTTTTTATCTTATCCACTAGCCTACCTATTTTCCAAAAGCAATGAACAGTCAATTCTTTTTTTACAAATTCAAAGAATACTTCATTCTCTTCCGTAATAGCCAGTTCAAAGTTCAAATTACAGATTATTCATTCTTTTTATTCTTCCATGTTGAAAACTTTATTCTTTTCAACTCAAGTTACTTGTGCTTGTAAGTAGCAGATAATAGATTGTTTTAACTAGTTTTTTGTGGGGAGGAGCACATCTATATATATTTTTCACTTATTTATAATTTTCTTCAATTTTTATGCAATTTTACATATTTAAAAATATTTATTGTAATTATATTATTTTATAAAATATTACAAATTAAATATACATGGGGTTTACGCCCCGTGCCTCGAGGCTTACGCCCACGTCTTTTAAAACACTGAGTTGCATTGAGTCTTGTTGCAAGTGTTAATTAACTGATAAGAATGGACCTTGAGCCTAACTCAACCCCAAAAGCTAGCTTGTGAGGAGATGATTGCTCAAGCCATATAAGGAGACCAAGGACCTCAAATCCCTCCGATATGGGACAACTCAACATTAACTGAAGAAGAATTAAAAGAGCTAGTAAAATAAGGGATAACAAGACAAGTTTTGAACGGTTTAAGTGAGAAGCTACTTGGCTGTTAGTTTTGGATGCTATTGTGCCTTTTTGCTTTTACCACAACTCATAAATGTGTTTATATTCCTATTTAACCCAGCTCACGTACCGTTGCGAACAACTCAACTCTTGGAATATACTACACTCCCAGGTGACGAAGAGCCGACACCAAGGTGCCAAATCTTCCCGTCGATGTGAGCTCTTGAAAAGATCAGCGTGTTATCCCTAAAGTAACTTTTTCCGTTGTGTGACAGCCCTTCCACTCGCCACCTTGGATCACTAAGGTTGACTTTCATCCCTGCTCGACAGATGGGTCTTGCAGTCGAGCTCCCTTCTGCCTTTGGTAGTGGTAGTGGTAGTGAAACTCCAAAGGTTTTCATTTGCTCTTTTGTATTGAAAAATAGTGTCTAAGTCATACATTATCGTCAGTGTAATATTTATACAGTATCAAGTAATTCAAATGAAATTTACTTTAAAGTTTCTTTAAAATTTTGGATTTTTATTTTTAATAATAAAGCAGGTTACTTGCTACAACATAAAGGTAACCTAATGATGTAATTTCTTTTTTTTACACAAACAATATATATAACTTAAATTCCGAAAAATAAGATTCATGAGGTTGAAGTTATATATCTGGTCAGATCTATTTATCTGAGAAACCTGAGTACATGTATTGCCATTCCTGTTACGAACTACTAGCTAGGAGTGGCAAACGTGCGAATCGGGTCGAATATGGTTCGGGTCGAAAATGGGTAATGAAAAATGGATAAATTATCCGACCAGACCCATATTTAATACGAATAAAAAATGGGTTAACCGGCTGATAATATGGGTATCCATGACTTCTTGCATATGATCACTTTTGGGAGAATTCTTAGTCTCCCTAACTTGAAAAATCCCCAATTTGAGGCTTTGCAAATGTAAAATTACTCATTGGTTATCCATTTTCTAAATGGATAATATGATTCTTACCCGTATTTGATTCGTTTTTAAAAAGTTTATTATCCAACCCATTTTTTAGTGGATAATATGGGTGGTTAACTGTTTTCTTTTAACCATTTTGCCACCCCTGCGAACTACCAACCAGATGTGTAACCTATTTTGACATTTACCTTTATTAATCTACTATGACATGTTTCTAATTTAATGTATCTAATTAATTAAGGCCGATCTTGTAGTAACAGTAAATCATTTTGAGGGTCAAAATATTTGAAAATTATGAATATCTTTGTTTGACTCAAAAGTTATTGATTACTTTGTGAGCATAAAACAATAAAAATAAATCAAAGGGGTAAAACATATCAAACCATAATAAATCATTGGACCAAGCGAAAGACATAAAGAGCAAACATTGAGAATTGGGGAGAAATGTATTACGAGACTTTATTGATTGTAGTGATTCGGTCTTCCTCTCCTTGAAAAGGTTCAGAGCCTTACAATGATGTTTCCTCCCCCTATAATATCAGTACCGTTCTGTATTTCTCTCTCGCGAATAGTGTCGAAGAAGAAGCCCCCTTTCTTAGGTTCCTTCTCTTGATATTTATAGCTGTGAGCTTCGTGAGCTGGCAATAAGTGGTCGTGGCCATATTGAAGTTTCGCCTTCGTAATTGTGGAAGGGTCATGACCCTGTCGATTGGGCCAGACGAGAGTTGAACAACCATTAGTAACAAGTGGTCATACCACTTATTAATCATGAATTAATTAGGACGAAATTAGTTCCGTTAATCGTCGTGGGGTCAGATTCTGACCCATACAGTTAGTCCCTCCGCTTATTGAGGTCTTCTTTTGGTCGAGCTCGATGAGCGGACTTCATTAATCGTGATTTGAGAAATTCGGATGGGGAGGTCGAATGTTGTTTCGGTCGAGGCCGAATTCTTTTTGGCGATGGCTCTTAGCCTTAAAGGGTGTTATTTCGAACTCGTCAAAATATTAACCCGTTGTCGTTCGGTCGAGGTCGAACTCTTCTTCTTTGGCGAAGGCACTTAGCCTTTAAATCGATTCGAGCGAGGTCAGGCTTTGTTATACTCTAATCCCTCCATTTGTCGGGGGCGTAACCTGTCGACCATGGCGGAAGGATCGTATGTTTGGCGGCATATGAGATTTTGACGACGCATAGAACACCCTTTTGGCGTTTGCAGGTTGTCATAACCATTTCGGGGGTGAGACGCCGGTTGGTAACTAACAAGTCGCTTCGTGGAGCTTGTCATAATGACGCACGTTTCTGTGGAACTGAACCGTTTTGCGGTTAGTCATGTATTTAATGATGGCTATTGGGTTTCGTGAAAGCCAATTTTGTTGCTTATAAATAGGGGGGATGAGGCATTTGCTTCTCATACATTCATTGTTTGTCTGAGAGAGATTCTGGAGAGGTATTTCTGCTTGCTAATTCATCTTCATCTTTGTTCTTCGATCGCTACAACCTTAATCTTTTCCATCAAATCCTGTTTCTCTCTCGTTCGTGAATTAACAATGGCAGGCAATTCTTCCAAAAATGTTCTTCCGGCGGATCTTCCGGTTAATTTTCCGGTGGTTGAAGAACCATCTCCGGCGACGGGAAATATAGAACTGGTGGAAAGCGATGAAGTTCCATCGGTAGATGAGATAGTATCTCTGCCCGGAGGTCAGGTGTTTGACTTTACTGCTGATGGTGGGGTGGAGCAGGTGGATGAAGCTCCATTAACGGGGGAAGTTGGGATAGCCCAACTGCGAGAACAGTGGGGAATTCCGAGCTACGCTGATAGTGCCCTTGCTAATAGGGAGGACAGGGTCCATACCGACCGTAGAGGATACTGTATTTTCTATGCCTACCCCTTCAAGACGGAGTTCATGCTACCGCTTCCAATGTTGGTAGTCGACTTCTGTCGTTACTACGAGGTATGCCCGGCCTAGCTTTCTCCTTCTCTCTACAAATTGCTCTCGA